TTTTTGCACAATCAGTTTTTTTTGCGCAATTAATTTTTCACGCATTTAATTTTTTTTTTCTTGTTTTTAACACAAACTTATATATTTTATAACATTGGTTGCCAAGATTTAATTTTTGCATCTTGTATTGGTGTATTGGTATGTAAATATGTTAGTATATTTGGTTTTGTGGTTTATAATATTTGAAAATATTAACTTTCTTTTTTATAATACATTGAGATTAGTGAAGAAAAAAAAAAGAATAAAAAAACGAATTTGTTTTTTTTTTTACTTTTCAGTTGTTACAGTATATTTGTTACTCCTTCAAGTATTACATATTCTACTCCTTTGGGAATCATACCTGCTATTTCTTCGGGTGTCATGTCTACTGTCCCTCCAAACGTCATATTCACTACTTCTCTGGATGTTATGTCTGTTGCTTCTATGAGTATTAGGCCTGAATTTTTAGCCTCTGTAGATGCAACTCCTTTAGTTGTTACAACTTTAAATCTCTCACCTGATAAAAAGCAAAGTCTACTCTATAATGTAAAGGATCTATTTGGAAATTTTAATGGATGATTTTGATGATAATTGGTGGCCGTTAGTTTCCAATATTTGGATGAAATGGTATTCATATAAGCATTCAGATGGCGATATTCAGAAAGTTTTTGCTTGTCGTTTCATGAAACACCGAGAATCAAGCACTCGAAAAAAAGAGAATGTCCCAAATAAAAAACGTCGAATAATGAAAACAAGGCCTTCTGGTCTGTGTCATGCAATGATTAAAGTCTCTTGGTTAATCACTTCAAAAGTGGTCTGAGTAGAACGATATAAAGACTCTCCCGATTATATGCATCCCTTGGAAGAAAAACGATAGAATAAAGTGGTTAAAGGCCGTTAGAACTTTAGTAGAAAATGAGTCAATAAAAAATTATTCACCTCCAGAAATCATGGCTGCTGTCAAAGAATATGCAATGACCAAATTAGATCTGAACGCAAGTGTTCGTGAGTTGAATCGTAAAGAAGTAACAAACATTAAGTATAAGGTTCACGGTCCTATAGAAGCCCACCTTATTGGAAGTTTAGATTTTAAATTAGATATTTCAGAAGCCATAACTTATTTAAAAAACCAGGAGTATCTTGTGGAAAATTATCATGTACCCCAGCAGTCTACTAAAGGTATTGTGTTTGTGCATCTGGAACAACTTAAGAAACTTGAACGTTACGGGTAGTTAATGCTAATAGATTTAACACACAAAACTAACCAGTATAACTGGTGTCTGTTTACTCTTTACATCTGTGATACTTTTGGATGTTGGAATGTAGGAGCTCACTTTTTTGTAAGTAGTGAGGATGGAAACACAATTGCAAAAGCATTGTTAATTATTTGTAATAAGTATTGTCGCTAGTTTTCTCGCTATATACTTTTAGATCAAAGTAACATCAAGGCTAAGAGTATTAGGCAAGCTTTTTCTGGTGTAATAGCTGGTGAGCAAGAGTGCCAAATAATTTTTTGTGTTGTCCATGTTATGAGAACTTGGATGCAAAAAATTTATGAAAAAAAGACCCAAGATATTATGATCACGGCGATGCACAAAAGAACAAAAATTGGCTGTGAAAGCTTTGTTTAGGATGCTATTAATTCCTGTCCAGTTTCTACTTTACAAAATTATATTAAAAGAAACTATGCAAAAAATACATACCAATGGAGCATGTGGGCCTGCCAGCACTCCCCCTGCTTTTGCAGGTTACATCGACGAACCTGTTGAAATCTTTTTATAGTGAATTGAAAAGACTAACTTCACTATTATATGGTTTAATTGGAGAAGTTTTTTTTTTTTTATCTTATTAGTCCTTATTCAAGAATGATGATTTCCTGTACAGAGATCTTTGAATTAGATTGTGGATGAATTTCCATAAAGGTGGGATTAGTTTTTTTAAAAAGAATTTTTT